GCCTCAGCCCCAGGGCCCCATTCACCCCTGCCCCACTCCCTCCCTCACCACGGGGGCCTCAACCTGTCCCACCCCCAGCCCTTCCCTCTACTTACCAGCTGGGTGCTGTCTGTGTGTCTATCAGCGTCTCTGTGTGTCTGTATCTTTGTCTGTCTGCTCCTCACTCCCAAGTCACAGCCCACCCAGCCCTGCTGCGCACTCCTGACCCACAGTACCTCGCATCCTGCCAGGGTGTGTGGGGACGCTCCCTCCCTGGGCTCCAAACCCCCCACGCACACCCACAGCCCCCAACACCTTCACAAATAGCACCCCCTACACATACACACTTCAAAACTAGCATCTCATGATTTACATGCCAATCTCTTGATATTTTTTTAAGAGTTTGTCTCATGATTTTTGGCATGGTGGGGTTGGCAATACTGTATAATACAGTTTTAGTGCGAAAATGTTGCCAATGTGTGGTATGGTATTCTATACCTTAGGGGCAGCAGTATGGTTGGCATGAGATTGGCAGCCTTCCTGCCTGAGTGATTGGATGAGTGGCAGATTGACATGAGTGGGATGACTGAGAGAGTTAAATAGGCTGAGAAGCTGCATCTACAGGCACACGTGAGTTTGCGTGTGTGTCGGTGGGTGTCTGTGCATCTGTGGAGCGCAAGTTGTGCTGTGCTTGGTGCATCTGGGCCTGGTCTGGTTTACTTGCTGTTGCTGGTGTTGAGAATTGTTGTAAGTTGTGTTGTATGTGTGTGGTTAAGTGAGATAAGCGTTGCCTGAAGTGCAGTCCCTAGCTGTGACCCTTCAAAATTTTGTTTCTTCCCCCAACTTGTGTATATAGTCCTGTAAGTGCCATTGTGTATAATTGTATTAATCACTTTTCATACTTACCTGTTGTTTTGGTATCTTCTCTGAGTTTGTTTAATATAGTCGAGCTGTTGAATGGTTCATGAGAGTCTGTGATTTTTTTTGGTGGGAGCTTATTAATATGCAGCTACCTAGAGCTAGGCTGAAGGCTAATGGCTAGCATTGGGACAGACCCCCCAACAATCAAAGAGAGCATTTGCATAATTAACCTAATTGAATTCTCGCTCTCAACAGAGGTTTTGGGGAATCCCCATCAGCAACCAGCCTACAGCTAGGTGCTGCCTTTGGAAGTTAAGACTGTGCATGCTTCCTCTAAAAAAAACATGGCTGCAGGGAGCCCATGACAGGGCTCTCTTTCTTCATACCCCAGTTCTTCTATGCCACGTCACTGATGAACTCTGACTCAACTGTGACTGCACTGACAGCAGTGCAATGCCAAATGTAAGCCTCAAATTATAGATCCCATGAGGCCAAAAAAAAAAATCGAAAGAGGAGAGTAGCCGTGGGTGGAGGAGGAGGATGTATAATAACACAACAAGGGGCTGCTCGGATTCACGTCAGCCAGCATCTGCTGTACTTCCCCATCTCAGCAGGGCTCTGTTTCATTGGCAAGTGTAGACACTTCCTGGTAAGTTTGCGACATTGAACACTGTGGGTGCTGGAGGGAATACAGAAGTACAAGTAGAAGTGCACTGGCTGAGCTGCAGCGCAGAGGAAAGAGGGCTCAAAGTAAGGAAAAGCCACTCCAAGTTGTGGGGAGACCTGCCATCGCACTACCAGATACCCCACTGAAGGCTCCTGAGGAGCCATGTCTCTGGCTGAGACGATCCAGCTATGGCATAACGGGGTGCGCGCTGCCGATCAGAAGGACTGGAGAGCAGCGCTGGAGGCCTTCACTTCAGTTCAGAACCCCTCCTCCAAACTCTGCTTTAACATTGGCTCCATTCATCTGATCCTGGGGAACTTGGCTGAGGCAGAGCAGGTGAGTAAAAGCATCTCGATTCCTCCTGCCCCTGCCTCTTTTACAGGCAAATCCGACTTAACGGCACACCCAGCCCTGCCAGATAGACTGAAGGGCCCACTGACAAGTGAGAGGACTGACAGAAGTAGATTGATGATGAAATGACTGACAGCCTGACTTGCAGGTCAGACACATCTGTGGCTGACAGGCTGAAGGGCACTCAGCACAAACCTGTCAGGTAGCTGACAAGCTGGCCTGGCTGGGTGCAAGGGGAAGAACTCCTCCGTGCTGCAGCTCAGCCAGTGCTTAGCCAACCAGATGATGCCACATGGAGTATTTGCCAACCTGGCAGTTCACACCAAAAGGCAGCCACATAGTGACTAATGGTCTATTAGGGAGGATGGCCCAGCAATTGATAGACCTGTCTTGAGCGGGATGAAGAGACAGTTACAGCACAATAGGTCACATACTTCATTTAATTCTTGCTGCTCAGTGCTGGGTGGAAGAAGTGGTGGGGTGGGGGGTATTTCATTTACGGGCCTCTGGCCAGGTGAAACACAAGAGCCAAAGCTGAAGGGTGGAGAGAGGGGGTACAATCCCTTTCCTTCTCTCCACGTTTCCCTTTCTGTTTCATCCTTCATTTCATCCCTTCTCCTGAGATTCTGGTTTCATGCCTCCTACCAGTCAAGGGCGAGCATCGCCCATGCCAGGTTCTGTTCCACTCTCCCCTCTACTGCAGCACTAGCCACAGCTGCAGCTGCTGCCTTCTCCCCAGCCCTATACTCAGTATGCAGGTCTCCCTTTGCAACTTCTCTCTCGGGAATAGGTTTCACGTATGAATCATCTCCTATCCCCTGCAGGCATTTGCCAGGAGTATTAACTGCGACAAGCACTTGGCTGTGGCCTATTTCCAGAGAGGGACAGTATTTTACAAGAGAGAAAAGTAAGTGCTGGAAAGTCCCTAATGGAAGGGTGGGGGGGAGAGTCAAACTCTGTTTCCCAGACTGGCAGAGAAGCCTTTTGACAAGCCAGTCATGCTGAAATGCTGCAGAGGTAACTGGAGCCAGAACGCACCTAACAAGGTAAATACTATCTCATGTTTAGCAGCGGTCCCAACCTACGGATGAAAACTATTCTTGGGAGCCTCGGAAATGCCCCAGTGTGCGTTTAAAAGCAATGAGAGGATTAGCTAAATCCTATATAAGAAACCTTTACAGAAGGGAGTGTATACAGCACCTAATGTGATGGGGCACAACCAGAATATAAATGATACATGATAATATTAACACTGGTCACAGCTTTGGGTCTAAAGCAGATACAGGTAACAGACTCAAAAGTCCTGAGACTAGCAAGCACAATTGGCCAATGAAGAGTCAGAACACAATTGCCTAGATCCGGAGAGCCTCTTTTCTCCCAAGAATGACTCAGGATGAAGGGCTTGGGCTGTGGTAGAAGTCTACTGGCATGCCATTAGCTGGCCAAGTGACTCAGGATGAGAACAAGATTGCATTCTTGAAAGGCACCAGGCAGTCTGGCCAGCACAAGACCTTCCCCTTTTCTTGGTGGACCCTGACAGATTATTAACTTTGCTTTACAGCTATGATTCATCAGTCGAAGACTTTAAAGAAGCACTGGCTCAGCTGCGAGGGAACCTGCTGATAGACTATAAGATCCTAGGGCTGCAGTTCAGGCTGTTTGCTTGTGAGGTAAGGAGCATACAGGAAATGTGGCACTGAAACAAACAAAGCTATCCACAAAGCCCAAGAAGTTAAATGGTGGAGTTATATTCCAATCCAATGTCACAAAGCCAGTGGGTGCAACTCAGACATGAGGCCCCCATACAGAAAGAGAAAAATGTGGGAGGGGTGCAGATGGTGGGATGCATCAAATATAACACAACACATATTTCTCCAGTTAAAAAGAAACTAGAGGCTTTACTAATATGCTAAGGGACTAAGAGCTATATTTTTCCATGTAAGATCAAAGCAAAACCAAATATAACTTAACTGGAACATGCATTAATTTGCTATATATCATGTACTTTGTATAAAAAAAAAAACCCAACACAACAAACTTGGCCAAAATAATCCAAAGATATTGTTGCATTAGTCCTGCAACATTAGCCATTAGAATAAAATGTATATTTTTTCAGATTCATCAAACAAAATCTAGCCTTCTTGAGAATCTTGATAATGCATCCAGTACTTCACTGAAAGTTGCTTATATAGCTGAATAAATGTTCACCTGAGTTAACATTTCCACAGCTGAGTTAGTGTTTTTAGATAGAGTTAAAATAGTCTGCAGAGCCTTGAAATGGAAGCTCGGTTAGCAGGAGCAGCTAACAGGCAGCAGAACTACAGAAGAAAGGATAGCTTGATTAGTGGAACATCGAGACTTAAAAAGGAGAAACAGGAAGAATCAAGACTATAGAAGGAATCAGGCAGTTTACAAGGAGCCATGAAGTTAGTTGACTCCCTCACTGCTACTGCACCTGCCAGGCAGTTGGCTTTAAACTTTGGGTGGGCCAGAAATCAAGGAGTGGGTGCAGCTGCAGCACTGCACCCTGACCTCATATATTGGTGACAAGCCATGATTCAGCCTTCAGAGCTTGCGTGGAAAAAATTAGAGGCTGGTCCCTAGGGCTAGTAACTTTAGAGCTAATTAATTAGCTGGTGTTTCTTTGTACCCAAACCCAATAAGAAGGAAAGTGAGTTGATAGCAAGGGTGACAGATTGCATGTCCCCACAAAAAAGCAAGTGATTGATTTATGAGAGAAGGCAAGCAGGGACTAGGAATCTTTGGAATGGGAAGCTAGTCCTGCCTAGTTTCCCCTCACCCTGTATTAACTACCATTACCTCATTGCCTCCAGGTGGAGCTTTCTAGAAGATTTCTCTAGGAAAATAAGACTCAATGAAGCCCTTGGAGTATCTTCAAACAGCAGGCAGCACTGGCAGCACATGGGGCTTTCTCAGCTCTGAGTTCTCCACTGCTTTTAGAGACAGTAGCTTAGGTCACTCCTCATTAGAGGCTGGTTTACTCGAGAAGCTCCATTCATTGACCCTTTGTTTTTCTTAACAAATTTCCTTTTTGCAGGTGTTATACAACATAGCTCTGGTCTACGCCAAACTGGAGGACTGGAAAAAAGCAGAAGAGCACCTCATCTTGGCAATGAGCATGAAGAGCGAGCCTCGACACAACAAGATTGATAAGGCTATGC